TTCTTTTTTGTCTGACTAAATTGTAAGTAAAAAAAGGACTAAGTTGCCGATTACTATCCCTATTAATGAAAAAAAATATTTAATATGACAAAAGTCTCAAAAAGAAAAAAAATCTTAAAAATAATTCTGGTAGGTAGCCTGGTTGTGGCTCTGGGTGGAGGAATTTTTTGGTTAGGAAAAAAAATGGGTGCCAAAAATAAAGCCAGCCAAACCAAGATTTACCAACAAAGAGTTAAATTAGAAAAAGAATTACAAGAATTAAACGAGCAATTACAAAACGAAAATGACCCCACCAAAAAACAAGAATTAGAGCAAAAGGCCAAAGCAATAGAACAACAAATCCAAAATCTAGGCCATAATTCCCCCAACCCGCCGATTAATCCAGGTGGCAATGGACAGCAACCGCCAGTTAATAATAATAAAACCCACCGGCAAATTACTGTCAAATACAATACCGAAATAGGTGGTAAGCACGAATATATTGATATTAACGATTGACAAAAAAGATTTTTGATTGATACTAAAAATAAAATTTTCTCCTCTGCTAGTAATTTAACTATCAAAGATAATCAATATAATTTTTCTTTTTACGAGGAGGATGCCACGGAAAAAAGAGGAAATGGTTTCATTTTTGACGAGAATAATGATAATTTTCAATTAATACCTATAAACACGGCTCCCTCGCCCTCTAAAAATCCGAGTAATGACCCCAACTCTGTCCGAATAGAGGAGGAGGAAATTAAAATTGAATATTCGTTTTACAATGACGAATACATAAAATTTAACAATTTTTTGATACCGATGGGCGATTTGAGTAATCCGATGCATATATTTATTTCTAGAAATAATCCTGTTTGGGGCTGGAGAAACTTGGACCAAACCAATTTACGAAAAACTCCTAATTTTAAAATTTCTTTCTCACCCAAAGACGCTTCTAAATATAAAGATTGGAGGGGGACTAGTGCTAGGGTTCAGGAGTATTATTTTGACAAAAACAACAACAATTTTACTTTGACACCATTGGGAAATTGACCGGGCGATAATTCTCCGAGCAACCAAACACCGCCTCCTTCCCAAAGCAAAAAGAAAATGACTTTGAAAATGAAATATGTGCTTAACTCTGGTTCTGACCACTATGTGTTTGGTGGAGAAGGAAGAAATGGAAGAACGATTTTTATTAGCCAAAAAAACCCCAGCGTTAATAAGATATTAAAAGATTTTTTTTCATTAATAGGGATAGTAATCGGCAACTTAGTCCTTTTTTTACTTACAATTTAGTCAGACAAAAAAGAA